TTTGTGAAATACCCTTAGCGTCCGTTGGAACCCCCCACATCTCTGCAATATACCCCTAACCGGTGCCGTCCAACTTTGCAAAATTCCCCGGTACTTCCCAACTTTTCCAAGTCCTGAGTGCAAAATGCCCAGGCTCAAACGGCGACGTCCAGATTACAAATTTGCACACCGGCCTGACAGGGACATAACACAAAGAATTCAGCCCAAAAGGGCGTTCCCCTCTATCCACATCTTTCAGGGGCATTTTGGCATATATCTCAGCATTGGGGGTATTTTGCAAATTATCCAAGAAATAAAGGATCTGAATATGCTTTTTTTTTTTTTTTTTTTGGGAAAAGCAAGGAATTCATTATGATAAAGTTGAGGCCGGGAATTCCTCACAAACAACCCGAAGCAAAAAACTGGACCTGTTGGAACTTAGTCCAACGAGACATCGTGGGCAGAGCCCAACAACACAACTTCCATGATATCATGATTCGAGATCTGCCTATTCCTACTTATTCCCTATCTAACTCAACTATCACTCCTATAGCGTTAGTGCTCCCTTAACCAAACCAACCTTCTTATTACCCAGGGTAATGCTCCCAGTAAGGCCCTGTCTACTGCGGCAGGGTGGACCATTTGGTCCTCTACTATCCTGGACACTCTCCGACCTCCTCCCCTTGCCTCCTACCGCGGAGCAATTCAACCGAGTGCGCCTGGTTGGTCCTTTAACCCCAGCTCTACTCTACCCCACTAGCTAAGCTCTTTTTGTTTTTTTTTCCTCCAGTCCCACTTTCCAAAAGAAACTCTGAAACCCCATTCCTAACTAATTAATCAATCTGAGAAGATCAGTTTCCCATTCTCTCCTACGGTGACCACCTTTCCATCTTGTGCCCAAGTTTCCAGAAACCAGCTTCTACCTGCTGTTCTCTCCTTCTTTCTTGGGGTCGTCTTCCTCCTCCAGTCTGCTGCCACCATCCTGCGAACCATGATCTTGAAAGATGCCTTGATCTCTGGATCAGGCATTATCTTCCTTTCGAAACGGGTTCTGTTCCGTTCTGTCCAAATTATCCAGAACCCCACCGCCCGAACTGCCTGGGCGACGTAACCCCACCCCTTCCCCAGTTGTAGGGAGTCAGGTAGTCCGCCCAGGAGTACCCAATCCTTATCCCATTTGAGTACTCCGCCTGTCCACCCTTCCCACTGCTCTGACCACCATTTCCATATCCTTTTTGAGGCGGGGCAGTCCCACCAGACATGAGTAGTTGATTCAAATGACCACCTGCATCTTTTACACTGGGCATCCACCTCCAGACCTCTGCTCATCAGCCAGACTACCGATGGGGTAGCGAGGAGCGAGGCCAGCCAGAGTAGCACCACTGCTCTTGGGTTCGGTGCCTCTGAGAGTTGTTCCCAGCATTTTTGAACGGCTCGACTAATTTTCTCTGTATCATCTGGTAGGACTCTGCTCCACCTCTGAGTTGCCGTCATTAACGGTGTGTGTGATGGGGCCTGCACCTCATAGGCGAGCTTCAATGTGAAATCGTCCAGTCGAGCGTGTTCTCCCTGAGAGCCTCTACTTCTCCACGCCCACTGATCTGGATCTGCCTTGAGAGCTGTGACCGGTACGCCCACATTCCACAGAACTACTTTCCAGATTCCTTCCTCATCAACCTTTTCTTTTACCCTGATCTCTAGTAGAGACCCTCTTGGTAGTGTTACGTACCACTCCTCCTCGCAGACAGTCAACTCCTTTCCCGTGTCAGATACCTGCCAATGTTGGAATTTCCTACCCGCCTCCGTACTTTGTTCCACCAGCTTCAGAAAACTCCGCTTATGTGGCCTAGCCGAGCTCGGGTCCTCTTTCCACTCAAACCAGGTTCCCACCGGATTTGGTTGTGCCGGGGAGAGGATCCGCAGCCACTCTTCGGGGATGGCCTCTAAAACCTGGTTCCTCCTCTGTCTTATGTACTTGCCCGGTTTCAAAACCTCCTCCAGATCCTCCCCAGTAATCCATGAACCGGTGAATTCATTCCACAGGTCCCTTAGTCTCACCACTCCCCGTTCTATCCATGACCTACCGAAGTTCCCAGGTTCTGTACTCGCCATCAGCATGTTCCCCCTGCGCTCTCTAATCCGTGGGTTCTCAAAGATAATTTGTGACAAGACTTCCTCTTTCGTGCGCGGTTCACAGAGCATATCTGGTTTTACTCTCCTCCACGCCTGTAAGTCTGCATACCAAAATTCCGATTTCAGCCTCCTTCTGAGAAATGAGTCTATCCAAACACAAGCCCAAACGTCCTTCTTACGAATATTCTAAACTGAGGCTGCCCTTGACTAAGATCAAGTGTGTAATAAAAATAAAAAAAATCAAGTGTAGCATCTGTTCTGATCAGTACAATATATTTTTCTTCTTTTTTATCATACTACACTATATTCTTCTCTCCAATTCTTTCAGCTTTCACTACCTACCTACCACTACTCCTAAGGCTATACAGGGGATCCCTGCAAGCATAGCTATCTGCCTCTCTTGGTAGAGGGAGGTATTGCATGTTTGCCCCTTGCCCTAGTGGTTTAGGATTCAGGGTTGGGGCCGCAGGTAGGGGCCCAGCTAACACAAGGACCAATCATTTGCCAGTAGCTGTGCCTCCCTTTTCATCTTCCCCCACCTCCATAGAGAAATAGTAGTCTCTAAGGCCAAGACTCTCCCACACACCACGCAGCCCACTCATACTCCCACTCACACCCGTGTGGGATGAAGACCCTACTGATACCGACCAGGGGCTGACTATCTCAACTGGTTGGGACCCAGCCTATCACAGGCGGCCACGGGGATTGAACCCACAACCTCCTGAATGCCACAAAAAGACAAAAGCTATGGTGGGTGCATCGGGTTTTTCTTTTTTTTCTTTTTCCGCTGCATCCTTATTTCCACGTTCTAAGGGAAAATACACCACTTTTTCCTACACCACTTTTCTTTTGGCCGCTGGCAAAAGGGGAAATCAGAATTAGCATCCCGCGTTCAAAATATGGGCCTAGCTCCACCACTCAGTGGCCCTCACCACATGCACAAAAGACAAAAACCTTTGTGTACACTGTACATTAATTTTGCCTTTTAAAATTGTATATATGTCGTGGGAGTAACAAAATGTGATTTTTTTTGGGGGGGGGTCGGCATGATTCTGAGTTTTGGTGTTCTCTGATCATCAATTACAATGTACATTATCAGTGTCGAAGACTGAACAATGGGCCCCTAGGCCAAATTCCACAAAATATGCTACATGCACGCAGTTTAAAATTATGGTCGTGTATCCTTCCATGTTCTAGCTGAAGATTCATTATCATTTTGCACCTTTGGTGAGTGGTGGAGTGAGGCCCTATCTGAAACCTCCGGCGACCTCTCACGTAGGCAGATTCTGGGCCTTGCTCCACCATTCTCGATTATGCCTTTTTCGAGCGTGGCTATCCACTCTCCACTCCATTCAATACGCTCAATTACGGGTAGATAGATATCAGAAGGATTGTTTAAAGAGGACTCTCCATTTTAGAGAGTGGTGGAGCCAGGCCCTTTGTGTCTCTGGTACCTTGGGCAAGGGCCCACTTAACCTGGATTCTGTGTTTTTGCCCACTGATCCTGGTAATCTACTGTCTAGAATGAGCAATCCAGTGAAGTGGGATGTCTCACCGTTGTATTAGCTGAGGGAAGACAAAGAGAGGAGTGGGGGGGGGTAGGAGCGGGGAAGATTGAATCTACACAGCACCACATACAGCTGATGGGCCATACAAATGCGTACGTACAGCCGTACTACACCCAATTTTTTTTCAAAGGGGTCATACCACTGCCGTTTTTTTTCTTTCTTTTTTCCCAGCGGCAAGAGAGGGCATTGTAACAGTGGGGTGTGGGTGACATGTACTACCCCCCTGGACAGGAAACGAATGAAAACGGGAAAAAAGCAGTTTGGCCAAGGTTTAGACATAGGTCGAGGGGTTTACGGTTAAGAGTTGGTCTGCGATTGAGGGGTGTGAGGTTGAGGGCTAAGAGCTCCATGGTTGAGGGATCAGATGTTGAGGGCTTAGGGATCCAGGGTAAAGGAGTCCACTGTTGAGGGGTATAGGGTATATGTTTTGGGGTTGACTGTCAGGTTTAACTGTTTAGGATTTGGGTTTAGGGTTTAGGGTTTTGGGTTTAGGGTTTTTGGTTTAGGGTTAGGGTTCTAGGTTTCAGGTTTCAGGGTCCTCAATCATCTTATTGATAATATCAGCCTTGGGCACTGGGCCCATTTTTTTGGAAAAAAAAATAAAATAAAATAAAAAATGAGGAGTAATGGGTAGAGGTTGACGTGAACGCTGTGTTCATCCAGATGAACGCCGCGTTCACAATGGTTGCTGGTCACCTGCCCCTCGAGGCTGCCTCCACGAGTTGCCACGTAGTCTCTCCATGATCTCCTGCACTTTGGTTGCCATGTGGCCGGCGCTGACCGCTTGATGCCCCTCAGCAGTGAACAGACTAACAGCCCTGTTCCGGGGGGGATATGTGTCAAGCTGCCACGGAGAGAGAGAGAGAGAGAGAGAGAGAGAGAGAGAGAGAGAGAGAGAGAGAGAGAGAGAGAGAGAGAGAGAGAGAGAGAGAGAGATGTGTTCCGAGATATGTGCCAAGCTGCCAAGGGATATGTGTCAAGCTGCCAAGGGGTAGTTCTGAGGAACCCATTGAGACTTGTACTGCTTCTGACTGACTCAATTGTTTACGACTTATATTTTCATGCTCTTCTTCTTCTTCTTCCACTACTACTACTACTACTACTACTACTACTACTACTACTACTACTACTACTACTACTTTGCAAAGTCTTGTCCTTCATTGCTATGGTCTCAATTTGGTTGGCTGTTATAATTGATTTGAACTTGATCATGATGAGTTGAGTTCATGACCTTGTGAGAATTTAGTGGCAAACTTCTAAACTTGAGGCTGTGTTCATTACGATGATGTTTAACCAAAAAAACAATTGAAAGCGATCCAGGTACGAAGATGGCGATGATGGTCGGCTGGTTCCAATTGGCCCAGGTTTTGTTGGCTACACGGGAGTGGGAGCGGACAAACCAGGACCAGGAATGTACAACTCCAACTTCGAGCTGGTTGTTCCAGCCCCCAGAACCACTGACTTTGCGGCCTCCCGTCTGGAACGAGCCCTTTATTCCAAAATGGACACAGGTGTTCCTGGTCCCGGTTCTTACGACGTGTTCATTGACCGCATGGGAGGCATGTCCCCAGCCAATCGGATTCTCATGATTGAAAATAGTGAGGAGTCTCTCCTCAAGAGCGGGTCATCGAAGAGTTTTCTTCGCAGCCCAGGGTCTGTGAGAATTGATGGGAGTGCTGGAGGAGGGGGTTCCTCTGTAGTAGGTGGAGGGTCGGGATCCTTCGGAACCCAATTAGGTGTGTCAAGATGGGTGACCAAGGAGTCCTCCTTTTTCGTGTCAGGGGTTCCGAAATTCAAACACGTGGTCAAAGACACCCCGGGACCTGGCACGTACACCTTGTCCCGTGTCTTCGACTTCGCATACAGGGAACAGCCAATGAGCCCCTCGGCATGCGCCACGCGTCCGTTTGGTACTGCTCAGTCCCGAGGGTACCATATCGATCCCGACAAGGTGGTCTCTCCTCCGACTTACTTGATTACCCCTGGTCCGGGCGCGTATGCCCCCAAGATCGTGGAGGGGAAAGAAGACCATATCTGGTCAACCAGTCTGGGTCCCGACGAGACACCGTCTGTCGCCAGTCCCTTTTCCTTCACTTCTCAGCGGTTTTCCAATTTCATCACTTTCGCACCTGGGCCTGGTTCCTATGATGTGCCCATCGTCCATCCCAGGCGGACGGTCAAGAGTTTCATCCATCTTGGGGAGCCACCCCAAGCGGAGGGAACCAATCTGCGGCGGGGATTCACTCGCATCTGCAATCCGGGGGAATCCCAGGGGCCGGCGTTCATGAGCACTGCACGCCGAGTCTCGTTCACTGACATCGCCGCCGCAGCGCCTGCGACTGCTTCTTCTACCGCTCGCGGGCGCAAGGCTGGCGTTGATGCTACTGCCGGTAGTCCGAAGAAGAAAGAGCGCGAGAAAGAGCGGGAGCCAGATCTGGAGGCTGTGGATCGCAAGGGCATGGGAAATCGACGTCGCGGGCGGAGGTCTGTGATGAATAGCCCTCAGGGCTTGCGGCAGCGGAAGGTGGTGGTGCATTACACAGGCCGGGGGGAGGAATTGTCGTCGGTATTTGCATCGGATACCACGAGATTCGGAACAACAGGAACGTTGCACGGAGGACATGCGTGGTACTCTAACTCAGGATTTCCTTGTCCGGGAACATACGAGACGCCCATCAGATGGAGCACCAAGCCGCGACCAGGAGGTCCTGGATGGATATACCTTTTCCATAAATTGAGGGGGGCCAAGTGGTGGAGCTTCCCAGGCCATCATCGGAAGGATAAACCCCCTACGAGTGCACGGGTGTTTGTGTCGGGTGCGCCAAGGCTCCATCATCATTTTGAGACGGATTCCCCAGGACCTGGAAGGTGAGCAGGTTTTTTTTTTTTTTTTTTTTTTTTTTTTCAGAAGGTGAGTTGTGCTGGAGATAGGGCTTGAAAAGAAAAAGAAAAGAGAGACCTACATTTCGTTGATTCCTTTTTGCCAGTTGGGTATGGGCATGAGGGGGTTGGGGGGAAGGGGAGAGGGAAGGACAGGCCCCTCCGATTCTTGAAAGCCCGAAACTAGCCCCACCAGAATGCACCTAGATGTGCTGCGACACAAGTGGGAGATCTCAACCTGGAGGTGCAGATGCCCCGATCCTGGCTCATACTGATCGGGCTAGTTTTTATCTTTTTTTTTCTTTTTCAGGCAGTGAAACAAAGTGGAAATAAAACATGGATGAAATGGAGATGGAACGGAGATAAAATCTGGACAATAATATTTCTTGATGGAAGAGAGGGACAGAGGGGTGGATAATCAAACAGCTTGAAACAGGACTGATGGTCAACTAGAGCATCCTTATACTAGGTTGAGGGCATATTTCAGTCATAAAGGTCCTAGTGTGAGTGTGCGCTTAGCCTTCAATCGCCAGTACCTTTCCCATACATCGGCCGCGGGCCTTGCATCGGGCCTCCATGTTATGTGGCCGATGTATGTGGCCGTTGGCGGAGGCCGCATCGGTCCTCCGTGTTAACTGCCGCACCTCGGCATTTGGCTGGGAAAGGAAATCAAGTGATGAACACGTGATATCCACATTTGTCTCACTTCCATTCTTAAAAAGGGGTTCTTCAGGGAATCCCTCTGTACCCTTACCTTCTTTCACAAATGTCCCTGTCAGAATGCACCTGGAAGTGCAGGCAGCCTGATGCAGGATTTGAAATGAGGTGTGCTGTTCTTGAGATGCACTCTGACACCGCCTTTGTGCGAGCAACCCGACATGCAGAGGCACATGTGTGTTTTTCAACCAAAAAAATAATAATAATGAAAAATGAAAAAAAGAATGAGGAGGTATACGTGCATCTGTTAAAATTGGAGTGATACAGAAAACGGTTAATAACTGAATAAGTATGATGTTCATGGCTCCTGGGGCGAGGTCCCACTACCATCTTCCCCCGAACACAACGCACCCTGATTATGAATGTATACAAGCTAGCTTTCCGGTCCCATGCAGCCAAAATTAGGATGCGTTGTTTTCGGGGGAAGACGGTAGCAACGGGATAGGATAGAAACGAGTTTGTGGGGCAGTTGAGTGACCCAAATCCTGCCGTGCAGTACTCGCAATCCCACGGTCAGTATTTTGCAAGTAATACCTGAAAAAGTTAGGAGATCTTCGCCCCCTCCTCCTCTCCTTAACACTGGGCATGCCCGTGCAAAGAAAGCTTCCCGCCAGAATCTTTTCAATCGGTTTGGGGTGTGCCCGACCCCAAAGGAGGGTGGGGTTGGCCTTAGGCCCACTGGATAGAAGATTTTCAGTACTTTACTTGCTGTTGTGCAATTATCTCATTGGGTGGAGCCCTCCTTCAATCACGGAGCATATGGAGGGTGTCAGGATCAGTGCTGACAGAAGTGAAGTTTATTCGAGAAATTGTGGCGGTTACTTTGTTCACTGTTGTTGCAACCACCACCATCAGATCATTTGTGATCTGTTGGCTGGGAAACACTCTTCCGTGATTTCCGGTGGGAGGTCTCTGTTTCTTCTTTTTTTTTTTGCCTTTCTCCTGTTTTCTCAGCCGATTTACGCTTGTGCTCCCCCATTTTCAGTCATGTGCGGCCGTCCGTGACATCCGTCAATCGTTGATCGTTTCGCGTATCTACGGCTAGTGTCGTTTGTCTTTGTTTTCGTGGAGGCAGCTGTGTATCGGCCAGTAGAATCTTTTTTAAATCATTTCGTTGGCCTTTTAGTTGGCCACTTTGCATTGGCGCGAAGCTTCAATACTATGGTTTTTTTTAGGGGGGGGGTGTTTTTGAAGCTTCGCACCCTGCTATTTTTTTTTTGCTGAAATTGAGAATATTGAGACTTCCGTGGAAGACTGCGAACAGGCCGGCGTGAAGGTCGCATGCAGATGTACCGGGTTGGTGGAAGAGTGGATGCCCTGAAGTTCTGTCATGATGTCGAAGTCAGACCCCGTGATTGTTCGTTTTTTAGTCCTTTTCTTTGCATTCGTGTAAATGAAAAATAACATTATTTATGCGTTTTTAAATGAGATAAGAACGCCACACACCATTTTAAACGTTGCTAGTCGGTCCTGGCCCCTGAACTTTCACTGCGCACTGAGTTTTTTTTTTTCATTTTTAAACGAAAACAGACAGTTTCATTATAATATCAAATCGAGGGCGGGGACCTCACAAATTCTACCCGCGGTCCGGACAACATCAGCCAGCTTAGCTTGCAGGCATTTGCCTGCGGAACTTGACTCTTTTTTTTTTTGAAACAACGGCGGACGCGGCATGTTTTGAGTTCCTAAAGGCACGAAAAACAGGCCTTCGGCGACTGTGTCAGGGCCTGAGTTCGAAAGGCGTTCGTAACTCAAGGCCGGCAGTGGTGTCAGGGCAGAGTTCGGAAAGGCGGTTGGTTTTTTTTTTTTTTTTTTTTTTTTAAGGTCGGTCGTGCCGTGCCGCGCCGCGCTGCGGCTGCAAGGAGAAAAAAAAGTGTTTTTTTTTTTCTTTTCTTTTTTTCTTTTTTTAAAGCTATATTCTTCTCTCATCTATCTCATTTTTCTTGCTAGTATTCATCTATCTCATCCTCTCACTAGTGTATGTGACGCTCGTTCATATCATGCCATGTTCTAGAATTCAGTTACCGGAGGCCAGGTCCCACTCGCAAAAAGGATTGGATTGAATGCCTGCATCTGGACGTCTTTGTAGGAAAGGTGCAGAAAATCCAGATTAAACATGTCCATTTGCTAGGGGGCCCTTGCCCCCAATCCACCAGTGTAGGGCCTGGATCCACCAGTTACCACATGCACAGGTGACAGGGGCGTGGTCCCACTAACAAAGAGGATAGGATCAAATGCCTGAATCTGGACGTAATTGTGGAGAGGTGCAGGAAATCGAGATTGAACTCCTTTTCTGCAACTCTCCATAAAACACATCCAGATTCAGGAGCTTGATCCTATCCTCTTTGCTGGTGGGACCTGGGCTCAGGAGACCAAAAAAATGTAGTGAAAAAAAACATTAAAAAAAATGTGGAACAGTCAGAGGTGGCAGCATCTTCAACCGTAGATAGTCCATCCTCCAGCGGCTAGATAGCACGGATGAAGTCTTCGCAGTTGGCCGTAGTTGGAAGCTTTTTTTGTTTGTTCTTTTTCTGAAAACTTTCACGTGCTGCGAGCAGGGAACCTCGCACAACGACTATCCTGCGGTCAAATCCGGGAATTTACGGTGTGATATGCATCCTTCACCCTGTCACAACTCTATCTTAGGTAAGAATGGCCGGAGCTTTATCTAGATAGATTCGTTTTGCAACTTTTTTTTTTTTTTTTTTTTGCAACTTCGTGTATCTTGCCATGCCCCAACGGCCGATTCATTTAGCAAATGCAACTGTGTAGGTCCTGTCCCCACACGCCGGCCACCACAGGGGTCCAAAGGGAAAAACAAACTTTCTTCCCTGACGGCCGCTTCAATACTGACACCACTGTCGGCGACCTCCCCCCGTTTTTGCCAATTATCGAACTGGTAGGCCTTCGAACGCGCAGTTTTACTGTTTTTCTTGCAGCTTGAATTTGTCTGCGCCCAAGCTTGCAGTGGACTGTTATTCCTGCGAATTCCAAACTGTGCAGCAGTCACCCGCGCAGTTATTTAAAAATAATAATAATAATAATAATAATTTTGCGTTGTACTCACGAGAGCTTAGGAAATATGGTTAGGCTTTTTCAATGGAATTTTTGGGAATTGCCTGGGGGGAGAAAAAAAGAAAAAAAAAAAAGAAGGAAAAAAAAAAGGACGGAACCAAGGTAAATTTGAGGGACCGTTTTAGGGCCTTTACGAGCAATCGATAGGTAGTGGAAGCCTCTTGGAACTATGGGTCCACTGGTCGAGCTAAGACCATTACGAGAAAGAGGCGGTTGTACATCAGTAGGTAGTGGTAGTGTGGTAGATTTAGTAGTAGGGGTGTGGGTTGCAGCCTCCGTGCTGCTGGGCCGGGAAGGGCCCGCAGGCATTGCCTGTAAGCTAAGTTGGATGATGCTTCCAGTAATTTGGTATCCGGGAGTAATGTAGAGGTCCCCGGCCTCTGATTGAACTTCGAAATGAAACTTGAGCTTTGGATTAAGGAAAAAAAAAAGGGGTAACTATGGTGCAGTCACGAAAACAGTTTGTAATTGCAATTGAAACTGCGTTTTAGCAGTTTAGTCAGGGCCCGAGTTCCAATTGCAGTTGAAACTCGGGCTGCGCAGTTCAGTCAGGGCCCTCGTCTATCCACGAACAGCAGATAAAAAAAAAAAACAAAAAAAACATCCCTTATGCTGTGATTGCGGGCCGATACAGGATGCTAAATGAAGGGAGGCTGTTAGCTGGCTCGCGTGGAATCCGCCCTGCCTGGCTGGCAGGGCGCTACAAGGACCTGACAACAAGAAACAAAAAAAATGAAAACGACCTGTTTCATGTTCCTCACTTCCTGGCCAGATACATTCCTCAAAGCACTGGTGAGGCCTTCCGGACGTAGGTGGATTCGCAGTTCCTTGTTTCATTACTTTTTTTATTTCTTCTTTTTCTTTTTTCTTTTTTTCGGCCTCCATCCCTGCCCCGAGCCCCCCACTTCTTCGGAGTAGTCTACTCTCTAGACTTCGCGTTTGGCTGTGAAGGGTAGTGCCTGCGAATCTCGGCTGTGGCCGAGACATCTCGGCCCTGGCCAATCTGGGGTGTGGCCGAGACATCGCGGCCGTGGCCAGTCTGGGGTGTGGCCGAGACATCTCGGCCGTGGCCCAACCATGGG